GTGATATTAATAATGCTAATGTATTGATATTTTTCTAGTTTTGATTTAAGTTTGCTTGTTTAGCGTCGTCACAGTTGCTAGGAGACATGACGTACGCCGGGGTAAGGAGGGGAGGCTAGACCGTCCAAATTCACAGACGCTTTTTTCCGGTCTTTCCGGTCTACCAAGGACCCGGCCCGCCTCGACCGGGTAGTCTGGGTCCTCCGGAGGACCCGGCCTGTCGTTTTGGACACAGTCTTTATCTCTCTGATAGAGACTCAAAATAATCTAAAATGTCAGATTCTTCTCTATAGTCTGTTATTAGCCGTTGTAACAATGCTCTAGATGTTCCCCTGTGACATCACTTCCTGTTTCTTCACATGCAAATATCTTAACTGTTTATCTCAGTGACATTAAATCTCTTTTGCAATGTTATCAGCGTCACCTTTGCAAAAATGCATTTATGTGTATTGCAAAAATTGGACGTCCCTGGCCCTTGAAGACATTAATACATCTTTGAATCTTTCGAGGGCCAAATGTGGCCCACGAGGCTTAAATTTGAAACATGCTTTAGAGCCTTATAAACTGTATCCTCCATGTTGTAATTCTTTGTGTCTAAAAACTCTTCTTCATCTCTCAAATACTCAAAATAATCTCTAGAAACATCAGATTCTTCTCTACAGTTTGTGTTTTTAGTCGTTGTAACAATGCTGTAGACCAGGGACAGTCCATCCTGGTCCTCGAGGTCCGCAACCCTGCAGGTTTTACTTCTTTCCCTTCTCCAACACACCCGATTCAGTCAGTGAATGACCTCTTCCAAGTTCTGCAGGAGCCTGAAAATCATCCATTCATTCAAATCAGGTGTGTTGGAGCAGAGAAACAAGTAAAACATGCAGGGCTGGTCCTCGAGGACCAGGATTGACTGGACATTCCCCTATGACATCACTTCCTGTTACTTCACATGAAAATATCTCAACAACCGTTCATCTCTGTGCAAAATTTTTTTATAATATGGTATAATTCCAAAGATGCATTCAAGTTTTTTAATTAAAAATTGATGTCAGAGGTTTAAAGATACTCGTTTAACACGATGAATTAAACATGAAAAGRTTTCTGTAGTTTTCCTGATTTATTGGTATAAAAATATGAAATAATGCACTTATTGTAAACAAAACACGTTTACCTCCAAACTTTATTCAACAAATCTGAGTAAAAATAAAACATCACACTGTCTGACTTCAACTTGTTCTTTAAATAAGCACACTGCTTCACTACTTCTTTTTTGCCGTTCTTTGTGACATTGAAATGAGCGTAGTAGTAGTGAGTTTTGTTTAAAATTTAGGAAAAATTTATCTTTTTTCTTCTAGATTTTAACGGTTTGTTACAGTTTTAAAGTTAAGTTTGTTGTCATTAGGTTTTTTTTTCTTTTGCGTTCCCACGCAATAGTATTGCGCTACCTCGCAATACCTTTTGCGTTCCCTCGCAAAAGTAGTTTATCACTGTTGTGCTGCTGGCTTATTAACACAATCACATGTTCACCATTAACGAGTTAGCCTACTGCTTTAATTCAGCTTCAGAATGAATATATCACTCAGCCACGCGTGGAAGTATGTCATATGATGATATTTTAACACAGTGCAGCCACGCAACATCAATGTCAATTTCACAAACTTGTGGCGACACATCCTATATTGGTAACCAGATATTTCAAAATAAAAGTCTGATTTAATTCAGTTTATATACAAAACAATCTTTTGCATGGGAACGCAAAACAATTTTGCGGGGTAACGCAAATATATATTGCGAGGTAACGTAACAGTACTGCGTGGGAACACAAAAGATAAAAATCCCCCCATGTCCCGTCACGGGTTCTGTACGTTTTGATTCACATTAGTTTTTTTTTCCCCAGATGGATTCAGATTAGCAGAAAAAGTAAGTAGATTAGTGTTTGGTAGATTATTTCTGTGTTGTAACAATGATTTTTTGGTAATAAATCTTAAACCCTGATTGACAGCACCTGGGGGGGACTAGAAGCTCCCAACAAGTCGCAGAAGAATCAGCAGTTTGCCTGAGAAGATTTGGCAAATTTTTCATGTGCACAACCCACACACTCAGCTCTACTGCTCATCCCACAAATGCTGAACATCTGAACAAAAACTTTTAACTCTTCTGATGAACTATAATACAATCCATGTTGATTTGTGGTCAGTACATGGTTGAGTCAAATTTCCCCAATAACTGTCGGGGAGGACGGAATGTATCGGGTGCCGTTTGTAAAGCAACTTGTGCATAAAAATACCAGCTAAATTTAATCACATTTAGCTTCAAACACTGTTTGAAAAAGTAGTGTAGATTTTCTAATATCACCTTTTAACATATTTAAGTTGTTGTATCTAAATGTTGTTAAATATATATGTTAAATCTAAATGTTAAATCTTAAATGTAAATGTTAAATGTTAAATCTTGGCACCATTTAAAAGGGAAATTAACAGGCTTTCCAACAATGTAAGATTTATTACCAAGTAGTGTTACAACAAAGAAATGAGCTACCAAACATTAATTTACTGACTCTTTGTTCTATAACGTGTCCTGTTGATTTGGTTTTTCTGCGTGGTCTCCGTTCAGGTGGGTCGGGAGTCACAGGTTCACGCACACGAGGTCACAAAAACCCGTCTGCTGATTGGATTTCTTTGTCCTGTGCTGTTGTTATTGTGTGTTGTGTAAAATGGCACAAGTGGCTCTTATTCAGCAGACACACGCCGGAGGGGCTTGTCTTTTTCCACTGCACAATACTGCACAACTCCCTGGGCATTTCTCAGGTGGATCGCTTTACCTGCAGTCCCCCACGGCCCACCTGAGGACTCAGCTAACGTTTTGTACCTGCTCCTGTCACGCCAGGAGGACAGTGGCTCAACCTGTCAGTCAAGAAGCTCAGATATAAATATTTGACTTTAATGGGCTAAAGCAGTTTTTTATAATCTGCTCTAAGAGTTCCCAGTCTGATATAAATGTGAGAAGAAACGAATAAAATCCCACTTCCTGTCATCATGAGAACTGAAGACTGTCGTCCAATCAGCTGCTTGCATTTCCTCGWCTCTTCCTGTCTGCTAACAGTCCAACAGCTCAGCTCTCAAATTCCTGGAAAAAAAAACAGAAACATGATGCGTTTCCCTAAGACAAGTGGTAACCTAATAACACACACACACACACACACACACACACACACACACACACAC